TTACAATTTACTTAAAGGATAATAAAAAGTCGTCTAGGTTGAATTTAGAATTAAATTTTTCATTCAAAAAATCATTTGTTGAATAATAACATTTATGCAAAAGAAAACAAAACAGCTTCTTTTTAAATTCCATAACATTAAGGCTTTTAAAACCATTTGGTAATTTATTATAAATACGAATTGCCATACAGTATACATTATTAGAAAAAAGTTGAATTCTTTGTTGTGGTACACATAACTTATGAGTATGTCTGCTTTTTCTTATTACAACATTATTATGTGTTTGAAATAAACCTATATTTTTATGCACAAAGATACACAGTTCGAATATATACAGAGATGGGAGTGGTAGAATTTTTAACTTTTTAAAGATTCCACTCTTTAAAAAGTTAAAAATTCTACCACTCCCATCTCTGTATATATTCGAACTGTGTATCTTTGTTTTAATGTAACTGTCTGTGTCTGTGTAACTGTGTTTCTTTATTTCACAGCTATGTAGTGGGTCGACTTTACACATGGAGCGAATACATTTCTTTTGGGCTCGAAATGCTTTAATAATGTCTACGGAGTTGCCCCATACCGAAGGCAGCCCCAAATACTGAAGGAAACAAATACAAATAAATAAATAGTAGTTTTAATCGAGTTGTGGACATCACTATGTAGTCGATAGTTGGTGATTGATTTCCTCCGTCAAATTAGTGACTCTATGCTCTATGTTTGTCACTTTTGTTTGTCAGTTGTCTATGATTTATTGAGTTTTCGTCTTGTGCTGTGTGGTGTTGTAAACATTATAAAATTGGTGATTTTTAGTAAGAAACGAGTTAGCTTGTGCATTTGTGTAGTAAACAAGTAGTAGAACATATATATAGTGCAATCTACTTCTGCTATAATCTTGTTCCTGTGTCTTATAAGAAGTAACCTTATTACTGCAGTGAATACTTCTTGTACACCATGGAAAACGACGAAATCGGTAATGATTTAGTGCGTTTAGACAATGGATATCTTGTCGACGAAGAGAATAACATACGTTGCGAATATGTCGTAAACTCTGATGATGTGTTGGGTATGTATTCAGGGTCTGAAATGTACGTCATACTCTTAACACATTTTTCTTGAACATTCTTCGTCATTCGACCTTTGCATTAGATGTTCATTTCTGCATTCATCCAACACTAATCTATTCCGTAGTAGCACATGAACCTATCATAAAGTAGTGCACCCATGCTACTAAAAATTAACTAGTATGGTCCACTAAGACATCATTTAGTTATTACGAATTTGCAACTAATTTTGTATGTTTTTAGGTATGAATAAATTATTTTCACGAGACGAATCAGTTCAGAAATATAAATATTTTAATTTCAGATGAGGAGAATAACTCTGATTCTGGAAGTAAAAATGCTCCGCTGCGGGAACAAGATAGGTTCCTGCCTATTGCAAACATTGCTAAAATCATGAAGAGAGCTATACCTGAAAATGGAAAAGTGAGTAATACTGCAATACTTAAAAATATCTTGATAAACGTCTATCTCTTTTGTTATATGTCTCACTAATTTGTTAGCTGAGAACTAATAATGGTGAATAGTGAGAAAAGTCAAGCCAAGAGTTTATATAATCACTTAGCTAAATGTAATATTCTAATCACAAGCCTGATGGAGTTAGATACCTCTAAAAATATTAACCATTCTAATTTAAACATCAATGTAACACTACCTTTGTTTTAAAATTTATAAACCCTTATTCAAATACTTCTACAGATTGCCAAAGATGCAAGGGAGTGTGTCCAGGAATGCATATCGGAGTTCATATCATTCGTTACAAGTGAGGCTAGTGATCGTTGTCAAGTTGAGAAGAGGAAGACGATTAACGGAGAAGATGTCTTGTTTGCAATGAATGCACTGGGCTTTGATAACTATGTGGAGCCACTGAAGTTATATCTCAAGAAGTATCGAGAGATTGTGCTGTCTCCCGTAAGTTTTTGCTTGATTTACTTTTTTCTGCTGAGTTATTGCGACAAATGAGATAAAAAGTAGCACTCCATTTGTTACTTTAGGCTATAAGGTTTTGCACATTTCTAAAAGAATTGTTATTTTTTCTTGCAGGTCACAGTGACGAAGTTAAACAAACCAATAATAGTTTATGGAGGTGAGTTTTATATGGTTTAAATGATTACTCATATTTATATTAAGTCAGCTAATACAATAATATTTTGTTACAAATAATAATTGTATATAAACTGTCAAACACCAAGCAGTCACTGGTGACCGCAACCTATTGTTCTTTAATTGTGTCTATAATGAGGGTACTCACCAAGTTAATATAATTAACTTCATGTTACCTTATTTACAGAAGACGGATCAGCATGTTTACAAGCTGAGAGTGAGAGTGAACAGACGACAGATTCAGCAGTGCTGTACCCATACAAAGAGTTAAAAGTTATCGACGATTTTACCATCTCATGAATCAGTAGACCGTACCTAAGGATAACATTATCAAGTTTCAGACGATTAATGGAAATATTTAACTCTAATTAATAATATCATTATTAGGGGCTATGGCACTTGAGTTTGCCACTGGGGGTTAGTGTGGCCTATGGTCTATTAATCAAGACATTGAATAACTTTTCACTGCCACAATGATCACACAAACAGGATCAAAGCCAGCTAGCGCCACCTACCAAGCAGAAAGAACACTAACCCTCTATGTAATAGGTATGTATTAGTATCCAAAAACCGAAAGACTGTCATAGAAAAAGTACACAATTTTACAACAACTATATTCAAATGACATAAAGTCATAAAGACCATTGTATTGACAGTAGTTTCAAATTATCCTGGTTGAGTGAGTAAGTTGATGTCTTCCTGAATGATTTTTAAAGTATTGTGGTATTGAACATCCACCTTATGTTGACCTCTTATACCATAAGAATGGAGTTAGGTACTTAGAACAATGAAATTGAAAACCTAGATGGATTTTAATAATAAAATAACAATTTTAAGAAAATGTTTACACTTAAAAGTGCTGTATTTTGTTCACGTGTATATGTGTGTATAATGGTACCAGTTTATAAAATACGCTTACCACATAGGGAGCTGTTTATTGCGTTACACAAAGCATAGTGTAAACATTTAAATTTTAATACCTGGAATATATTAAAAAAAAAAAACATTGCCCCACACTAGGATTTTCTCCTGTGTCATGGGTGCGTTTACAAACATAATATATGTTTAGATAATAACATAATAAATTAAAAAATAAAACTTTTGATGAGTAAATGTATAACATTTTTTATATCCCATGTATTGAGTAGTAGTTATGTATTAAACATCCTTTTTTCATACAATTGAGTCTGTAAACAACATATGCAAAATATATTATTCAAATGTTTTTTACCAATGATCTTAGTATTGGCTAGTAACAATCAACTATAATTTGTATGTGGTTTTTTTTGTAAGTAGTGCGTGATATGTAAGTTAATAAAATGTATCTTATGAAGAATTAATAAGGTTTTTATTATGACATACCTTTAATTACACACTTTTGTTATAAATAAATAGATCTTTCGAAAGGCAAGGGTACACAAATGTGTATGTAAGCACATATATAATTTTTTAAACAATGTTGCCCCACACTAGGACTTTCTCCTGTCGTGGGTTCCCCTATTCTTATTAGTTATTATAGGGGTTTGTAATCTAATAAAAAAATAAGCGATTACAAACAGACAAGTTCGCAAGTTGTTGTTCCGTGCAAAAAATCGAACCCGCGACACGTTGCGCGGCAGCCGGTAAGCCCAGCCGCTGCACCAACCGTGCAGTCATATTGAATATTATGACTTTCATATTTAATCTTCATTATTATTTATGAATATATAATATCATTATTTAATAAACGAATTTATTTTGTTTCAAGCTTTATATTCGGTTACATTTGAATATTCAACTGTAGCGTCAAAAAAATTAAATTTTCAAATAATATCATTATTTATTACAACACTAAAATTAACACATAAAATACACATTTATAATAAAAAAATCGGACGGACAGCAGATTCAATATAAACTCCAACAACATTTTAAACCTATTCTCTGAACTTATCAGTGATATAACTTGGCAAAGGCATTAGATATAAAAACTTGTTAAACACCATTATGCCAAGGGAGAAAGCAAATGACACACCTAAATTGAATTCAGAATTGAAATCACTAGCCGAATAAAAATCTCCATTGAAGTTCTTGGACGTAAAACGTTCAGTGAGAAAAGCTTTCCCACTAGCATATCGACAGTTCGCATTGGAATTTGTATTAGAACTTGATGAAGTTTGTAAAAGACTAGATATAGTTGATGTGCAGTTTTCCTGGTCACTGTACGGGAGTATGTTGAAAGTGGGCTGCTTGAACACGTTGCGATGCATGAAGATTGACGCATATCGCGTGTGAGTGATGTAGGTTAAGTAGTAGAGCCATTCTTCGAAGCCTTTGTATGATCTGTAAACGAAGGATTTTTTAGATACACAATACTGTAGTTGACAGGTAGTCCAATTCAATACTTATAACGAAATGTCATAAACGATATTTTTCTATGAATTTTGTATTGGAGAGTATAATTATTTTTTAATTATTTATTGCATTGAAAAGTTGAAACAATTTATTTTAAACCTAGAAAACTAGCCAATAGGCCCTTGTTGAGCATATAACAAAATGGCGAAAAATTACAATAGGCGTGATATTATTGGGTCCTATATAGTTATACTATATACGTGTAGGTACACATCTAACGAATGTACCATCTCATGAGAATCAAAAAAGCGCTTTCGTCAGACTTGGAACACCTCTGAACTACTTGACCAACAAGAAAGAACTGGTGAAAATCAACATGAATTTTAACATCTTACCTCAGAACTCCGCTAGCCAGCATGATATAAATACAAGTAATGTATATGTTGACGATGCCGGCCACGAGGCCGTTCTTCACGAACATCATCACGGCGATAGCTTGCTGCTCAGCGTACACGTAGCACGACCACAGCGCCAGCGCGAAGTACAAGAAGTCCATGTTTTCTGATATATCTGATAGGATCCTGGAGATGGAAAGATAGAGGTCATTATCAATCATAAGAAGTTCACGGGAAAGAGCAACCAGACTGATCCAGTGAGAACCAGATAAGGACGTACATCAGTCATTAACAGCCCATGACACTGACGGTCTCCTGCACTAAGTTCACTAAGAGCTTCCTCTACATTAGAGGGTTTACTAGAATTTCCGCATCACGCAGGTAGGTTGGAGATCGTAGTTCAAAGATTTTAGATATAGGTACCTATCAGAAAATTAGGTAGGTACTGGCCGGTCTCTGAAATCTGAAGCCCTTGCGTACGAATACTGAAACGCTTAAATTTCAAGTTGTAGGTACCTACTTAAATATATGGCTATGAACGAAATAATGTAACCAAGAATTGTATTGTGAACCTGATTGAAAAAGAGCAACCTATAGAGTTTCTTGCCCGTTCTTCTCCATAGGAATCTACACTTTGGAACGAACAAATAGCTTCACTAGAGGACTGACCTACAAACCGACATTTTTTTAATAGTTCAATATTTTCTATCTTGGTCTGTAATTATTGAAAAGATTTTGACTTCGACTTTGACTATGCATCTCTGTCATTTTACAAAGAATTTGTGGTGACTGGTGACAATACTATACTTAAGCGCGACTTTAGATTCAGTGGCGATTGAGTATTTGGACATTAGCTGGCTCTTAATACTCCCGGAAAGATTACCTGCCTGGCGTCACCACGCGGCAACTTATTAAGGACTTATTTGGTCACCATAGTGCTCATGGTTAGTCCTTATAACCACTTGAATGCCCGCTATACGCAATAGAGACTACATTGTGTCTCGTGTAGATCTACGTTTAGACACACGACGAGTTAAATGTTAACATATTTTTGTACATTTTACTACAAACATTGGTAGGTACTTACGGGTATATAACGGCAGCTGAGGCTAGAGTACTGAGGAATGAGAACGGCAATGAGACGAGGTTCCACGACAGGAGTAAGCTGGCACCGCTATATAGACCCTCCTGCGACTCCTGGTAGTAACGGGTGCGGTATGGACTATCTGTAGCCAGATAATAGAAATGACGAGTTAGGAAACAACATAAGCCAATAAAGCCAACATATAAATAGTCAACTGTACCTATATGTTTTTATAATAACTATCGTGAGGCATACTAAATTAAGTAAACACGCGGGTTACTCACGTAAATATACTGAGAAAAGCTCTACTAGTTTCGAACCACAAAGGGGTTTTTCCTCATGAACAGCGTGCGCGGACGCGGCAATATCGACGTGCTGAACCAGTAGAGCTTTTCTCAGTAAATTTACGTGAGTAACCCGCGTTTTTACTTAATTTAGTCAAATGTATAAAACTTACATAAACAAATCGTGTTCATAATACTGATGAAGTAGGTCCCAACCATGGCGTTGAAGATCAGACCGCTCTTCGTGATGAAAGCTCTTTGATAATCCTGGAATTAAACAGGCTCCTATAGATTTTGATCAATGTTGGCAAATGCAGACTGATGACCTTACCTAATGTTAAAAGTAATGCTTTATTACACGTTCATGTTTTACCGAGGGTAATCATCACCATATCAGCCACAGGATGTCTATTGCACTCCTGAACATTGGTCATTCTAGATCGGACTGTGATTTTTCAAAATTTCGTAAATGACTTACCTTAGCTTCATTGTAGAATATCCACAATATAAAGAAGTACAGCGGCAGACTGAACAGTCTCATGAACATTTGCTTCATTCCATTCTTCTTCAGGTTGAATATGGACACTAGTAGCCTCCTGCAAATAAACAGACACTTTAGGACCCATATTTTACTTCTTACTAATATTATAATGGGAAAGTTTGTATGTTTGTTGTGTTAATGTTACTCAATCACGTCAATACGGCTGAAGGGATCGGGTGAAAATTTGGAACAGGGATAGATTATGCTAGAGCAGAAATCAGTTTTCTATACAAGGTGGAATTTTGTAATGACACCTGAAGGGGATGTACTCTCAATACTTAACGCTGGTCACTCGTTATACATGGACAATTATTACAATAGTGTGGATTTGGCAGAAACTTTGTTACGCCAAAACACGTACTGCACAGGGACACTTCAGGTGAAAAGAAAGGGAAATCCGGTAACAGTGACCAGCAAAAGATTGACAAGAGGTAGTGTCGTATACAGAAAAAATCGGAATGGTGTATGTGTCATGAAGTGGAAAGACAAAAGGGAGGTTTTGACTCTTTCCACAGAACATACACCGGATATTCTGAATACGACAAACTGGCGTGGTCGTGGCGTATCGAAGCCTGAAATGATTATTAAATATAATAAATTCATGAAAGGTGTAGACCGGCATGACCAAATGCTGTCCTACTACCCATGCGAGCACAAAACCATAAGATGGTATAAAAAAATTGGCATCCACATTATGCAAATGATGTTTTTGAATTCCTTTTTCATGTTTAATGAAGGGACTGGGAAAAACATGTCATTGGAATCGTATAGAAGTGAGGTATTGCGTGGCCTTTTGCCACCACCTATTTCTAGAATAGATCCTCCAGCGCTCCCAACACACATGCCCAAGGAATTGAACAGAAATTCCAACGGTGTGTTGAAGCGGAGAAAGTGTGTTAGATGCTGGAGTGTACACAAAAAGAGGAAGGACACCGGTATTTTCTGCCCTGATTGCGACGTAGGGCTATGCATTGCATGTTATGGCTCATATCATATTGAAAACAAATTATTACCTTAGAACATTAGGGTAATAACTTGTTTGTTTAGCTTTTTATCACCTGATGGTAAGCAATCGGTATTTGGTGATGGGAATTTTGGTGGTGGGAATTTTGGTGGTGGGAATTTTGGTGGTGGTAATTTTGGCGGTGGGAATTTTGGTGGTGGTAATTTTGGTGGTGGGAATTTTGGTGGTGGGAATTTTGGTGGTGGGAATTTTGGTGGTGGGAATTTTGGTGGTGGGAATTATGGTGGTGGGAATTATGGTGGTGGGAATTATGGTGGTGGGAATTATGGTGGTGGGAATTATGGTGGTGGGAATTATGGTGGTGGGAATTATGGTGGTGGGAATTATGGTGGTGGGAATTATGGTGGTGGGAATTATGGTGGTGGGAATTATGGTGGTGGGAATTATGGTGGTGGGAATTATGGTGGTGGGAATTATGGTGGTGGGAATTATGGTGGTGGGAATTATGGTGGTGGGAATTATGGTGGTGGGAATTATGGTGGTGGGAATTATGGTGGTGGGGGATTTAGTGATGGGAAACTGGTGATGGGGAATTTGGTGACGGGCAATTGGTGATTGGGAATTAAGGTTTTGATGACGGGGGTGTTTAATGATTGTGGGAAATTTGGGATTTAGTAAATTGGGTTGTGCTGATTGGGGAAAATTGGGGGTGGGAGGATTGGGGATGTGGTGAGGATTGAGCCTTCGGACACCTTAATCACACGGAGAAACAAAGCAAGCGTAGTTTTACGCCAGGTTTCTGTGAGGTTCAGGCTTTCTGTTGGATCCTGCTCTCCATAGCTAAATTGGTGGACCAGTCGCACTGTTAAAGTCCACGTTTCTTTCCTGTACGTTAAAGCTTTGCGACATGTGATGAAATGTTCATCTACGATAAAGACCCCTTTCTTTTCAATTGAACTGTCCTTGTGCAAATTTTAAATGTGAGAGATCTCTCACGTTTGAGATTAAGTTCTATTACGAGAATCTCATGTAATGATTTTGTTTAGTTTTTGATTTTGGCATGTATTTACATTTTTTTCGTGAAATCAATATTTTTGGCGTGCAAAGTTTGCCCCGCACCTGGTCTGCCTGGATGCCTGGTCACCAGGCATTGCAAAGCACAGGAAATTATGCAAAATTTCGAAGGTGTGCATTGCAATGACACGTGGACTAGGCCTACAGGGGACACCACGAAAAAAAAAACGCGCCGCTTACTCTACCTCCAGGTGGTGTGGAAATGAGTTCATTCAAATGTAATTAGATGTATTAAAAATATTAAAATATACCTAAGTACATACATTGCGGCGCTCGATCACCAAATACGTAAATATTGGTTGTAAAAAAATGTAAATACATATACATATAATTTTATTTTGTATTGTACTAGCTACTTCCTCGCGATTTCACCCGCTCTGCAGGACTCCTTCAGCTTTCAGCTTCAGCTTTCAGCTTCAGCTTTATATAATAGTAATAATACCTATAGTATTATTATTATTAAGTATAATTATGTTTATCAATAAATAATAAACAAAATAAAGTATGTAATAAAGATACCTATGTACTCTGTTTTTATATATGTATTGTCCTCTGTGTTGAATGTGTGTACATAAATCAATAAATAAATAAATAAGAATTTGCTTTTTACTTATTTTTGTTGACTCTGTTCATATTCATAACATTGCGAATTTATCTGTAACTAGTCCGATGATATTCAATATAAAAGACAAACATGACCAATCGGTTGTGCGGAGATGCGGCGAGCACGCTTGCGCGAGCGAAGTATAGCTCGGGAATGTTCGGCTATGTTCGGGCGGCCGTGTGCCGGGAGCGCAGGAGCTTACCTACTCTAACATCTACCGCTGGCATCGCGATACATACGATTAAAAATCCAACATCAACCTCCTATGTACCTATTTGTAGTTGGTTAATTAATATACTAAACCCATCCCCTAAATGTAATAAAAGTTTTTCTGAAAACCGCATCAAAATCGGTTCAACCAATCGCGAGATAATCGCGTACAAACAAACACAGGTCAAACTGAGAACCTCATTTTTTTAAGTCGGTTAAATACAACAATTTTCTAAATATAAACCCACTTACCAACTACAGAATTATTACATTCATCCTTAGTTTAAATTTAGATAAAATTTTCAATTTCACTACATAAATAATATTTTGGATTATAAATTCCATGAGGTACAGTGTGTCATCACCCTAACTTTTATCTACAGATACATAATATTCTACCGCATTTTCGTAAGTATATAACAAACGCACAGACGCGTCGCGGGCACTCGCCGAGAGTCGAGCGGACGCATATACGAGTTCCGGGCACACGGTGAGAGCCGTAAGAACGCGTATATGAGTTTCCGGCACATGAAAAGGGCAAAAATTGAACGCAATAGTGCGTGCGGGGCACTGTAGTTATGTCTTTATTTCGGGCACTGGAAAAATCCACAGGGCAGTGAATGCGTTAAGATAGAAAATTGTACTCAAAGAAAACATCCCTATCCTTTCGGAAGTAACAATCGATGCAATAAAGTACCTACAGGGTGCAAAATTTGACAGATTTTAATCGGTTCGATTACGGTGTGAGGCAAGCTAATTTTTAAAACTATGAATGCAGTTTTGTTTCTTTTCAAAAATAAAGGAAAGATTTACTTGAGTAAAAAAAATAAAGGAAAGTTTTATTTGACTAAATATTTCTAGGGGAAGTACCTACTAGTCAATACTTAAGATAGAAAATTGTACTCAAAGAAAACATTCCTTTCTTTTCGGAAGCAACAATCGATGCAATAAAATACCTACAGGGTGCAAACTTTGACAGATTTTAATCGGTTCGATTACGGTGTGAGGCAAGCTAATTTTTGAAATCTCTGAATGCAGTTTCGTTTCTTTTCAAAAATAAAGAAAAGATTTACTTGAGTAAAAAAAATAAAGGTAAGTTTTATTTGACTAAATATTTCTAGGGGAAGTACCTACTAGTCAATACTTAAGATTAAAAATTAATTAAGATAGAAAATTGTACTCAAAGAAAACATTCCTTTCTTTTCGGAAGCAACAATCGATGCAATAAAGTACCTACAGGGTGCAAACTTTGACAGATTTTAATCGGTTCGATTACGGTGTGAGGCAAGCTAATTTTTGAAATCTCTGAATGCAGTTTCGTTTCTTTTCAAAAATAAAGAAAAGATTTACTTGAGTAAAAAAAATAAAGGTAAGTTTTATTTGACTAAATATTTCTAGGGGAAGTACCTACTAGTCAATACTTAAGATTAAAAATTAATTAAGATAGAAAATTGTACTCAAAGAAAACATTCCTTTCTTTTCGGAAGCAACAATCGATGCAATAAAGTACCTACAGGGTGCAAACTTTGACAGATTTTAATCGGTTCGATTACGGTGTGAGGCAAGCTAATTTTTGAAATCTCTGAATGCAGTTTCGTTTCTCTTCAAAAATGTGGAAAGTTGTCTTTGAGTAAAAATTTCTATCTTAAGTATTAAGAGTACTTTTCCTTCAGGTGGCATTACAAAGTTCCACCCTATATACAGCTGTCTTAAGTTTACTCATGTTTACTTACAAATACAGCATCCAGATAACTTGTAATCCTCCCGGCTTTCCATAATTCATCTGTATCTTGTTAGGATTCACAATGCGGTTGTTCTCATGCAGATTGCCCTGCATTATACCCTGGCCTTCCAGCTTGAACTTCTCCACCAGTGCTGCTATCTGGTGGTTAGATTCTATAAATCTTTCGCGTGACCTTCGGTCCACCGTTGATAGGCATACTGTGGGAAATAAAAAGTTATAGAATCAGTTAAAATTCGAAGATGGTCTTATAGACGTCTGCGAACTGTAAATCGCAAAAACCAGAGCAAATACTTACAATAATACATCAATGGGTTCTCCAATTGTGGGCAGGGAAAGCCAATGCTTCCAAAGTAGTCCAGGAGGTTTCTCGTAGGACCAGCGTACACCACGTCTCCGAGACATAGGTACACCACACGGTCCAGAAATGGGAAAACATCTGCAATATTGAGTTTGGTTCAAAGGATTGTAACTCCTAGCTTATGAGGCAGAACTGAGCATCATGTGTCTGTTATTATTTAGAAATAATTAAATGTTTGTTTCTTTTTTTTTAATTAAACGTGAGAAACGTTTAAATTAACAAAAAAAGCGCCCACGACTCTAAAATTTTCTCCTGTGTCGTGGGTGCATTTACAAACATACAAGTACACATACACATGACACCCAGAACCGGAACAACAATAGGTATGTGGATTACTCAAAGAGTTACTCCATGCGGGAATCGAATCCGCGACACGTTATGCGGCATCCAGTTGCCCAGCCACCGCACCAACCGTTAACTAATTGTTTCAACGTGCAACATCAAGATGTATACCTGATTAAATGCAAAGGCTACAACTGTTAACAATACGTAAGTTCAGTTCCTACAAAAGGTATCAAAGGACAATGACCCGATGGTATAATTATGAAATACGACAGTGAAATGATATTTCGACATAATACTGTACAGCTGTGCATATACTCCTAGTAGGTAAATGTTTTTAGTAATATATGAATAGAATGAGGCGTACCTACACTACAGTGATATACTAGATAGTGCTTGGACAATAACATGGACAATAACACATGTTATTAGCATAATAATGAGAGCTATGTAGGTGAAATGTATTAAACATAACCGATTTATTTTGTACTAGCGACCTGGCCCGGCTTCGCACGGGTGTAATATGCATGTTTACATATAAACCTTCCTTAAAAACCACTTTATCTATTTAAAAAAACCGCATCAAGATCCGTTGCGTAGTTTTAAAGATCTGAGCATACTTACATAGGGACAGACAGACGGCGGATAGCGATTTTATTTTATACTATGCAGTGCAGTAGTAATACGTAGAAAATAATTATGTTTTATTTTAAAACTACGTAGGTAGTGTAGTGTAGCATTGGGACATTGATGTAATAGTGGTAAGCACTGGATTTTTTCAATCTGTGTCTAATTTTTATAGTTGCTATCACTGAGGATCTGGTACTAGAAAACTTTAATTGCGTACTTGCCAATTAGTCAATATGAATTTTGTACGAGATTGTGTATTGTGACGTCACGTTTTTCGAGCGTCAAACAGGATAGTTAACTATTACTAAAATTAAGTTGGTCATAAAATCTATTAATGAATGTGTGATTATTTTTTAATATTTTATTGTATTGAACAGTCGAAATGTTTTTTTTTGTTTAAATAAAAGCCCAATTAAGATATTGAAGTTATTACTAATCCATTGCATTTTCATAGTATGGGACAGCCATGCTTCGGCACGAATGGGCTGGCTCGGCCGGAGTGATACTACGGCCTCACAGAAAACCGACGTGAAGCAACGCTTGCGTTGTGTTCCGTCGTGTGAGTGAGGTTACCGGAGGCCCAATTACCTTCCCCTTCCCCAATCTCCCCAATCCCTGAATCCCCAACGATCCTCAAACTCCTAATCCCCAAAATGCCGGTAACGCACTTGTAACGCCTCTGGTGTTCCAGGTGTCCATGGGCGACGCCGATTGCTTACCATCAGGTGATCCGTCAGCTCGTTTACCGGCTTATGCCATAAAAAAAAATTACGCATGGCATGCAGATTGTAAGTAAATTCTATTACCGGCAAGAATGTAACTTACTACAATACAACCAATAATACAATAATACAAGTAGCAATAATACAAGTAAATAACATTACTTTATTATAGTTGTATAATAAAGTAATGTTATTTACATAACTACACTTATGTTTACAACTTGAAAGAATTACGATCTGTTTAGAAGGTTAATGTTGACATTAAAGTGAGTGTTAGGTACATTTTTATTGTGGAATTCTTGAACATGATGCGTCACAAACACAATCAGTAAGTATGATTCAAATAAGTCTTATTTATTAAAGATAGGTGCCTAATTGTTAAAATAGCATCAGCATACTGCAGCTGTCAAAGGTTCGAGTTAAATTTTTTTAAATTTTGGTGGTGTCTATTTAGCCTTTGTTCATCGATCGTACAGTTTATATCCATTAAGGTCAAAGTCAAAATCATCAATTAGACCAGAAAGGCACTTTTGAACGTCAACAAAAAATTAAAAGTATTTGCTCATTCTAAGGTGTAGATTACTATGGAGAAGAACGAGCAAGAAACTTCATAGGTTACTCTTTTTCAATCAGGTTGTCAATATAATTCTCTAGTCACATCGTAGTTCTCTTATCTAGTAGGTAGGTGTGGTAAAGACCAGATTGTAAATACTACTGACCTGATCTAGGCTTCTCCATTGTGAGTATGATGTCGGTACCGTACTTCTTCGCAGCATTAGACAGTATTGATATCACCAGGTACGTGTTCAGTGGATCCAGGTCCCAGGTCGGTTCGTCAAGCAGTAAAATTACTGGAAAAGAGGTTTACCTTAGATTTGTGATAATGTTTAACAAGTTAGCGAACTTTTCCTTTTTAACGAGAGAAAAGAGGTGTCAGCTTTTTTTCAGAGCGACATTAAACTGTCAAATACCAAGCGGTCACCGGTGACCGCAACCTATTGTTCTATAATTGTGTCTACAAAACCGGTACTCGACGAGTTAAGGCGAATCTGATGAATAATTAAGTAGTGCTTATTTTAAAGTAATTAGGAAGACAGGGATGAAAGACATTAAGGTTTTAGTTGTAGTTTTTAAATAGGGTTGTGCCACTTACTCGGATCTCTGATCAGTTGTACTCCAATAACCAATCTTCTATATTCACTCTTTGTGAGATTCGTCACGCATTTGTGAGCAACCTAAGAAAATGAATTCGTTTTTTGGTTATAAAACTAATTGCACCTATCATACATATTTGAAGCTATGAATAACTATGACTTACGTTCGACAATGCTAGATCAGCCATTACTTGCTTCACTTTCGATGATTTCAAGTATCCTGAAACCTAGAAAAGAAACAATGAGGTATATAGGTAGGTATATTATACAAACATATTGTCATAAGAGTAGTACCTACGCAGACAACAGAAATTAGAACAGTTTAAATGTAATCTTTTGATAGTCACTTTTACCATTACAGTTTTACCATTATCTATTTGATCGCGAATGTAGTCAACGGGCACATCAACCGACCGACACTGGCGGAGGGTTGACTTCAATAGTTTTCAATCGGCAGTTACAGACTTAACAACCTTTCTCCATATACTTTACCTTAGTAAGTGACAGGCTAAGTGTCTGTTGCACGCTCAGTCCTGGTAGTAGTCGTGTATTATGTCGCACCAGCGCACATGTGCTGTTGAAGTGGTCAGCCTCCAGCGGCACTCCCTCCAACAAGATGTGGCCTTTCGAAGGCACGCGACGAGCTATCACGTCCAGGAGGGCTCGTTTGCCACTGCCTGGGGGAATTAGACTAACACTTTAGTATACCTTTTAGAAGAATGAATAGTAATGAATACTCTTACTAACAAGGATACGAAATATTACGCATTTTATTTCTAGAAGAGAAATAAGAAGGTGCACATTATTAATTGTAACATCTATTTTTCACTATTAATGAATTTGTTTACTTAAATATTTGGCTATTGCTGCCTCCATGCTAAATACTGAGAATTTTCTAAAGCAGTAAATTATTTAATCTGGTGGCAACGGCAGTAGTATAGCACTGGACCATTGGTAGATCAGTAATAAAATAATTATTATAGAAAATGGTTTCGTTATTACAGTTTCTTGTTAGTTCTTTTTCGTTTTGGAGTAGTGGTTGTTACATTTTACAGTGGCATTAAGTTATTAATGTGCACGTGCACCTCTTCCCATTCGAGGGTCAAAGGAGTGATGTTATGTAATGTTAAAATATGAATACATTTTTTTTAATTTTTTACCTTTCGACCCCAATATGGCTGTGACCTCCCCACTGTGTGTCGTGAATGAGACATCTTTCAGGATGACCCCGGTCTTCACACCACCAGTCAGCCGCTGAAAAAAGCTGCCAGGCTCTACCTGAACGGAAACAAACGAAAACTAATTTTGAAGATAAACAAACAATGTTTTTTCTATGAGACAATTGTATTTGCAGAGTAGGTAAATATTGAATTATGGAATTAAAATGAAACTAAGTACATATGTACATTTTATAGAATTCACCTTTTTCTTTTATAAAAACTTGCCTTACATATAAATTACATAAGAAATCTAAAAAACATGTATTTTTACTTCCATCACGAAAATGAAATAAATAAACACGGCGTTGTTTATATGGACCCTTTAATCACAATTTGCACTTGACACATTTGAGGCATTACAATCTCGTAGTGCAAAAGACTTCAACGCATCAATATAAGACGTTTCACATTGACCCATAATAATCATACTAAAACGGGCTGTTATATTGACGGTCATAACTTGGTAAAATTGCTAAGATTTCTAAGTTTTATGTAATTTGCACTAAATTAAGAATTGTTTGTTATTAATAGAATTATAATCACGTCCTTTAGTGACGATCTTATTTAATTAATAAAAAAAAATATCAAAATGTCAACTATAAGTTAAACTTATAAGGTAACTTCTATATCAATGTTGCTAAAACATAAGTAAGTCCACAACTGTTGCGCTCGCGACCTAACCATTAATAAAACAATAAAAAACAAAACAAACCTGTCCAGAATGAAAAACATTGCACAACTCCAAAGTATAATCACTTCCGATCATTTTAAAACTTTAACTTTCTCAAAATACTTTAATTTTAAATTGAAAACACAAACAAATGCATCTCAGAGCGACACAGCCTCCACGTCGGTGAGATGCAGCAAACTAATCTAACTGCAGTTAACTTCAAACGAAACTTAACAGTTAGCGACGTTGCCAAACTTATCTGTAGCTAACTTCACTTCTATGTTTGCACTTGATTTTTAGCACAAGTTTGTAATGGTTGTAAATTGAATCTTATGTTTATTGCCATACGGTTTATTTTTGCTTGACTGTCTTGAAGCATATCTGTTAAGGCGAAGGTTTCAAAGTGATCCATCGTCTTCGACGGGTACGAGTATTGTTTAAAAATAATCTGAAAGAAGAAAACAGGAAAGAAAGAAAGGGTTTGCGTTTATTGGCGACATAATCCTGTTTCCTATGTATCTGATATAAACAGGATTTATTCGTAATTCCTGCGAGAGTTTGGAAATTTTAAATATGTACATATGCAGAAATTTATTTTTGCATAGGTTTAAGTTTGTTTGTAATTTTTAATCAAGTACCAACTTATTTAAAGCAGCGGGTTTTTTTGAACGGGGAAAATCATCCAATGACATCTCCAGCCCGGGTCAGGCGAGAGGGAGCGAGACTTGGTAGCTAATCAAAATTTTATTGAGGGTAGATTCGATTATTTTTTTCCACTTTTTACAACAATGCAAGACATCGCCTTAACAATGAAAGCCTCATTTTTCCACATAATTTCTACGCATGGTTGCCGCACTTACTCACCGTGAACCTCAGAAAGGCTAAAGACTATCTCCATCCCTCTCGCACTCGTAACAAAACCTGATATGAAGGCGAGACACCCACGCAATACTACCTTCTTTATGTTGATGCATTCCAATGATTAGTTGTCTCTTTCTTTTCACCTGAGTTAGGCGGGGTGTGAGAGAGAGGGGGCGACTTGCGCAGTGTCACTGACTCAGTACGACTCCGCACGGTCGTATAGTCGCTGGTAACTCGCAGAAATAACAAACTAATAAAGAAACGAGGTCTGTTATCGAAACGAACGAATATAATACGAAATAGCAACTGTTATAACATTTAGAAAAATAAATGTTTTTTTTTTGTATCGTGAGTTTAGTGTCGTTGTATTTGTTTAGTGCTCAGTGATTCTGTGTTCAGTTTTGAAGTGTTGCGCCGGAGTCCCGTTGGCCGTGTTACCGGTAAGCTCAATGAAAATGTTCAACTTTGAAACTTTTTATATCTCAGTTGCACACCTAAATATTTGCCAGTTAATTCGGAACCTTATCTCTGTTATGATTCTTAATAAAAATAAGGAAATCATGACTTCTCAGTCACGAGACACGATTAAGACGTTGGTGTTAGTTGAACTATGAACATGTTTGCTAAACAGAACATTTAGCACTGGAGTTGTTCGTCATCATTTTTTTATTAAAATTGTTCTACTGAAACAGTACGAATAACTATATTTTTCCCAATTAACATGTAGCTACGATCTTCATAAACTTATTCATAATTTACACACAACATAGTTACGGTTTTGTTTTGTTTTTCAATCGCATGTCCTCAATACTCGTTTCATTAATGTTTGCAGCAAAAAGTTTCGATCAGATCACAACGATAGTTAAGTTCGGAATGAGGCCATTCTGAGGCCTCAATGAGCCGTTAAAGCCACGGATTATCTTAAATCAATTCTTCACAAACATTAATTGCTATTGGATACTTGCAAAATTGCAGCTCACAAAGAAAAGAATGTCCTACTATTCTGGATAATTTAGAAACCCATGACGATACAGTTTGCTATCTAAATTAAATAGTCATTAGAATTATTGTGAAAAGTTTGCAAATGATAAATGGAATATCCGACAAAAACGTAACGAATGAACTACGTCCGAGAATCGTAAGAAGTAAGAATACGTTTTTTTCAGTAAAATTGGTTAAATCGGCAAAAACAATAGTCTTTCTTGATACTGCGTAGAACAATAGATAAATATAATGAATGAGAGGATCTTGAAAACATTGAGGAAAACTTCAAAAAGTTTCTACCCGCATGCCTGCCATAAAGATGTCAATAACATCCAAAAGCGCAAAAAACATACAATTACTTCAAACCCAAAAATATCCTCAATAACCTAAACAAAAAATAATTCAACTTAATTCTTCTCAAGATTCGATATAGCCGAATTATATTTGAAACAATGGTTTGATGTTAACGAACTGTAATCGCAGGCGCAGGTGAGTCAACGTTAACGTGTGCCGTGCGGGCAAAGTGTGGCGCTAGTGTCGTATTATGTCTCAGACAGACACTGACCTCATCATTTTGATATTTATCTTAGTTTGTCTAATATACTGTAACTTAGTTTTAAGTGCGGGCGACCTGGCGGGTTACCAGGGCTCCGGCTCGAAGTAGGTATAGGAACGGAGTGGTGTTTAGTTAAACTGTCAAACACCGCGAGGACACCGGTGACCGCAACCTATAGTTCTTTAATTGTGACTATAATGACGGTACTCAACGAGGATCTGACCTCTTCTCGCTTCAACCATGGCGGTAGAAGTCAATGTATTGGGTTGTCCCCCTTAAAAAAGAAGTATCAATTTTGAGCAAGGCGTCTAGTATTGAGTGATGAAAATTTTCGTTACAACAAAAGAAGTCGGTTAAAACAAAATAGACTGAGCAATAAAATTGATCATTAATTTGTCCAAAAACTTAAGCCTTTTACTGCCGATATATTATTGTTGAGGGCAAATCCTCTGCTATCGTGGCCCACATGGAGTCCCCATGGCGTTTAACGTAATATTGCTTTAAGTTAAAATACTAGTGCTGAACTATCAATTAGTTATGATGATCGTAGCTTACTTAAAATGGAAGATGAGAACTTGAAATATTGAATGAAACGAGGTTATAGGTTAGTATTACGGGTATAAAAATATGACCAGCAACAAAAGTTATTTGATGAGTCATCCAAAGAATTATATTCAGTTATTATACTTTATTTGTAGCGTTTAACGTTTTTTTTTAATCTTCAGACCTTAATTCGCTCGGTCGGTTCGACGCGGCGAGCGTGCAAAATTATTGTAGAAAAAAAATTAACTGTTGAAACATTTGAAAGAAGAGACGTTTAGTAGCCATCGAGAAAATATAAATAATTACCTATATAAAGATCGGTAATCTAATTAGGCAATTCATTTTGTACGATTTTAACTGAACTTTAATTAATCTGGTTTGACACCAGAGTCTTTTTTTAAGGGGGGAAAAATCATCGAATGACTCTTACTGACTAAATACCACCCCGTTCCTTCTCCCGCACTTCGAGCCAGAGCCCAGTTAACCCGTTAGGTTCTCCGCGACGACACACCATAGTCTATGAATTAGAGGTAAATTACGAATTAGAGTAACTCCGAATATATTTTTTTTTAATTTTACATAAAGCAAAATGTACAATTTTGAAAAGAGAATAAGTTTCCAATTGAGTTTGGCATGAAATATTTGACTATTGCTTTATTCCTTACCAGAAGAAGAAAAAAATTGATTTGGAAAGGATTAGAAAATCGACGAGAAAAATTGACAATATTACAATAAAAGATTGGCCATAAATAAAATAAGCGCGAACAAGTAAACTTACCTACCATTACTTGGTATTTATATTGAACCTACAAAGTATAACAATGTAAGTATCTGGGCCGTCTGCGTATTACCAAACTAACACCAGACTGACCTTAAAAAATTAGTTAATTCGTAAAATTAATATTTAGATCTTATTCTTCGGTCTGTTTCGAACATCGTGAGCTAAGATCCAATTAAATGTGGTTGCCCCCGCGACGGACCATGACTGTTCGTAATTCTTATAATTATCCACTTACAATGTTAGGATTGCTTTGAACACACATGTACGTATGAAAGTATCGATAAAAGTTAATAGATTGTGTACATCTACAACTATTTACTGTCTCGTTGGCCGAGTGGTCGCAAGTGCGACTGCTGGGCAAGGGGTCTCCGGATTCCCAGGTCGGGCAAAGTATTACTGGGTTTTTAAAAAATTCTCTGTAGTAGCACGGAGTCTGGAAATGTACCCGCTATATGGCAATAGGCTCATCCTCTATTACATGGGATTCATAACATTAACAGTGAAAAGTGGGTGTTACATTGTACAGTGGCATTAAGTGCCGTAATGTACACCTCTGCCTACCTCTTCGGTATAAAAGACGTATATGTAAATCTACAGCCACTGACTAGAGCTTTCGAACACTTCGGTCCTGATCTACTATCAAATGGAACCCACGAGACACATGTATTAAGTTTTGGACATGCCGTATTAGTTTAATACAGGATACAGGTGTAGTCGCCGGACAAACAGCGGTAGTAGGTATAAGGGACAATGATTAGTCCAGTCAGTGAGTGCGGGAGAGCCATGCTTCGGCACGAATGGGCTGGCTCGACCGGAATGATACCAGGGCCTTACAGAATACCGACGTAAAGCAACGCTTGCGTTGTGTTTCGTCGTGTGAGTGAGGTTACCGGAGGCCCAATTACCCTCCCCTTCTCCAATCTCCCCAATCCTTGAATCCCCAACGATCTTCTAACTCCTAATCCCCAAAAGGCCGGTAACGCACTTGTAACGCCTCCGGTGTTCCAGGTGTCCATGGTCGACGCCGATTGCTTACCATCAGGTGATCCGTCTGCTCGTTTATCCATAAAAAAAGTCCTTAATTGACATTAGTTCCAAGGATAACCTGAACGGCCAAGTCTGAAAGACAAAACACATACTTAGGTAATGGTAATTCGTAGAGACATTGAACACGAGTACATTCGACGAAAACGGTAACGTGAACCGAGTACACCAACATTATTGCATTTGACAACATAATTATGGCAAAACTTCATGCATTTATATGTCCAACTTAGTATAATTTCACGTTTAAATTATTATGCCGCGTTTGAGTAATGAACTCGCTCGCTCCACTTGTGTTATCTAATGGGTAACTAGCACAATATGTGCATACAAAATGTACTTCTAAAACTAAAGGTATTGCACTTGTTATTTAGGTTAACAGATGGAATTCTGTTTAGTAAGAATTTGTTTTTCACGTGTCGAAATATGCGCTGGATTTGAAAAATATACAAAAATATGATATTATCCTTTAAAAAATATTTGCCCCGCACTAGTGATTTTCTCCTGTGTCGTGAGTGCGTTTACAAACATATAAGTTCACATACACATGACACCCACCCAGACCTGGAACAACAATCTGTGGATCACACACAAGAGTTGTTCCGTGCGGGAATCGAAACCGCGACACGTTGCGCGTCAGCCAATTACCCAGCCACCGCACCAACTGTGCACTCGTAATTAATTACTTATTGACACAAAAATAGGAAGTATTGAGGAGAACAAGCCTACTGTCATACAGCAAGAACAATTTCAGGTTCATTTGTTATAGTCAATTATCGGAAAACCGAAAAGGATCCGAAAATCGACTCTAATCGAATTGTTCATATTTGGCATTTGCAACCTTGTATCATACAGTCTAGTATTGTATGTAAACCTTTTTAATTAAAACCTTTTTAACAGCCCAGTTAAATAGCAATAGGGTAGATGCCTAATTTTTATTTTAATGTTCGTCTGGTAGATTATTTTAAATAATTAAACACTTATTTTTTATTTTCTTACAGAAACGAATACCTTCGACGATAATTGATTTGAAATGTCGCGTGACGTCACTTCTATGTACATTTTATACGTAGAAATGACGTTTTAGCCCCCACTCATAAAATTTTTATTCGTTTTATCTAAGTATTGTTTTATTACACGACAAAATAAAAAAATACGTGTCTAATATTTTTTCATTATCTATCTTACGGACTAATTATATTTTTAATTCTCATACTGACAGGGTATCATCCCAATTCTATTCGCTCCAATTTTATATTGGACCAACCCATACCGTACATATTTAAACAGTTTCCATTGCGAATCGTATATTCAAAACCGTAACCATACCAATGAGTAGGTAGCGTCTACTTTCTACAGGCTGTCAGTGTGACATGTTATGTATGTAACCTGCAATCATGGCTTCAGTCCCGCTACCCATTACCTGCCATTACGAGCCACCATCTTACGTAAAATGCGATACACTACACCAGGGGTTCCCAATCTCCGGAGCTGCGTACAACCTAACGGGCTATCGGCGCTCCAACTCGAAG